CTGAAACAGTATTTCTGAGTTATTACGATCCCCAAAACAAAATGACAGGTTTTGAGGACTGGTTGGAAGTACTCCGTTGAACTTCAAAGGAGTTGCTTGCATCCAAAGTTCCAATAAGCAGAGCAAACAAGTTTTACCAAGCTCTAAAGTTTTAAGTTCACGACTCGGAGAACTATCATCAGAAAATTGGAGAAATTTTCTTTTTGAATGAAGTTTGTTCATCAGGTGTCAGAAGAGGAACTGTAGTGTAACGAAAGAGATTGGCTCTTTTTCCCTTCAAGCTTAAGCAGATAGACTCAACACGGCTGCTATTTAGGGTAGATAAAATATGCCGAAGTTTTCAAGTAAAGTAAAGCATCAGGGTAAAGTAAAGCATCATAGCATTATTCTAGAAAACCAAGAAGTATTTAAAGTCAAAAGGAAGTGTGTAAAGTCAAAAAAAAAATCATGATTAAGCAGGCGGAACTGCTTCAGATTATGTATGCTTTGAGAAAGTTACCCCAGCACCTTGGTGATTGGAAAAGTTATTATCAAAAACACGGCTCAATTTCCAGATAACCATCAGTCAAAAAAGTGACAAGAATATTCTCGCTTTTTTGAGTTGGTTTAAGATCGAGCAAATTTTAAATTTTTATCGTTGCATATGAAAAGAATACTCGTTTGGTTTTGTTTAATAATCGTTTCATAAATAATAATTCCAATCAAAACCTGGTAAGTTGAATTCACCGCCAGGAAGGAAGTTTTTTTTTCAAAGCAACCAAGTTTCGAATGTTTCTTTTAATGAATAGAATGTAGAGAAGACGAAAAATCGAAAGTTTTGAGAATATCGACGATGAAGCGCGAGGTCGACGATGATGCGCGAGGATTACATACTGTTGCTTTGTACAGAAACGAAGATATAGAAAAGAAGTAGCTTCTTATCCAAAACTAGAATTACAATCAACCGGTAAGGTGTCTAACTTGGAATTGAAATTCGATTTGATGGCTGTGAGAGGACAATCGCGGTAACCAGTACAACTGTCAGAACTTGCAATAACGTCATTTTTGTGGTACGATCCGGATATTGGAGTTGTAACAGGATCATTTGTAACAAGCTGGTCAGCAAGAATAAATGACAAACACTTGGTACCGTTCTCTACAGCGGATATTGAATCGAATTTTGTACTATTTAACTTGACTCTTGAAATGGCATCACAAAACAAACAAGAGATAGCTTTGTTAACAGCAAAGAGAAAATTGTTAAATTCATCCGAAGTACACCCTAGTATTCGTCACTCGTATGTTAGAAGTCTTGCTGAAGCCAACCGCCCTCAAACAATGTTGCAATCAGCCTCAACAAACAGAGTGCGATCAATATAAGGAAGAGACGTTTTAGGAAATAAAAAAACAAATCCTAATGAACGGAGTCTCGTCAACTCTAGGAGTATACTGGATTATTTCCGAATAAGATAGTCTAAACGAGTCGAAACTAATTATCAAAATTACAGGGCTCAATTTACAGGTAACCTTCGTTCTAAAGAATGTCAAGAATTTCCTTGTTTTCTTAGTTGGTTTCTGAATGATTTGCTGCAAAGTGTTATCCTTGAATATGAAAAGAATACTCGTTTCATACTTTGTATAATACTCTTTTCCAATCAAAACCTGGTAAGTTCAATTCACCGCCAAGATGGACATTTTCTCAAAGCAACCAATCCTCGAATATTTCTTTCTATAGATAGAATATAAAGAAGACAAAAACTCAAAAGTTTCATGAATAAGATAGTGTTAATGACGATGATGCGGGAGGATTTCATGCAGTTGCTGAATTGCAGCCCATCAAACATCAGAGTTACAATCAAGCGGTGTGATGTCCACCTTGGCCTTCAAAGTCGACTTGATGGCTATGAGACATCCACCGTAATAACCACTAGATCTGTCAAAACGTGCAATAACAACCTAATCAGAAAAAAAAAACGATAAACCCATATAGAATTGGTACAGCTATTCAGCCAAGTTTTAGTGGCGCAGAAGGTACCAAAATTCTGGAAGGACAACAATTTAACTATTTTCAGTTGTCTGTACACAACAAAAGAAGTTTGATTCTATCAATTCCAATATATCAGTCACTTCTTTTGAATCGTTTTTGAATCGCTCAGCTCTGGTGGGTGAGGAGCTTTCGGGAATATCTAGAATTCTGATTTCGTCATTTTTTTGGTAAGCTTGGGATATTGGAGTTGTAACAGGATCGGTTGTAAAAACTTGGACAGCAAGAATAAAGGATAAACATTCGATACCGTTCTCTACAGCGGATATTGAATCGACTTTTGTACTATTTAACTTGACTCTTGAAATGGCAGCACGTAACAAACAAGAGATAGCTTTGTTAACAGCAAAATGAAAATTATTTAGTTCATCCGAAGTACACCATAGTATTCGTCACTCGTATGTTAGAAGTCTTGCTGAAGACAAACGCCCTCAAACAACGCTCCAATCAGCCTTAACAATCAGATTGCTACCACTATAAGGAGGAGATGTTCTAAGAAATAATTTTAAAAAATCCTTAAGAACGGAGTGTCTCGTCATCTCTAGGAATATATTGGATCATTTCCGAATAAGATAGTCTAAACGAGTCTAAAATAATTATCAAAAACACAGGGCTCAATTTCCAGATAACGGTCGTTCTAAAGAATGTCAAGAAATCGCTGTGAACCTATACTGGAAACAATTTTATTATGATTAATATTATTTATAACATTTTTTTTTACTCCACGGTGGTCTAGTCAAAATGGTGCCTGCTTAGTTACCTCTTGATTAATATTGTTTTATTACTTAACTGACCATTGTTTGTTATTGACATCTTTGTGTACATCCCGGTTAAATTGCGCTAAGCTGTTCTTTTCTTCCAAATTGCTTGTTTAGGAGTAATGAACGTAGTGAAGACCCTTATATAGGTCTTGCTGATTTTTGTTTGTTTTCTTTTTAGGAAAAATTCTTTAAATACTGATGCACTTAGGTATAATGCAATTTGTGACTTCAATTGAAATTCATCTGCTGAAAGTGACATAAATAGCACTCTCCAAATACGAACGTGGAAATGGCACAAAAAATGTGAACGATTTTTAGTTTCGAAAGTGGAATTTGTTTTTAAGATTTCCCAGCGGAATAAAAACTTAACCTATTGATCCAGTTTTCTCCAGTTGGGTTTATGTTATCAAAAAAGAGCCAATCATAATTCGCTCTAGAAGTTCAAAGAGCTTAAAGGGCCTCTATTTTTTTCTTTGAAATTCGAAAGTTGAGATTTTTTCAACAAAGTCAGCGTTTTTTTCATATATTTACTTGCGTTCATTACTCTTCGATTGGCTATATTTTACTGATTTGAGATCAATTTTTTGTGACAAGTATCCACGTTTTATATGCGCCAAAGACATTTCGGGTAATTTTTTTTCCTGAATAAAAATATCGTTTTCGCTTTGATCCGTTCGGTTAAATATTCTTCGGGCTAGATACTGTTTATTTCAAATACCAGCTGTAGTGACTATAGAAATTTATTACAAAACATTTCAGCTATCAAGAAGACACTGAATATAATTTTCGCTGAAAACATTTTTCGTACAATACGTTGTAGGGTTCTCTACGGCCAACTGGTTTCGACTAATTTTCCTCGACTTATTTGTGTCCGTTTTTTGCAAGTTGAAAGAAATACAGACCTGATTAGAATGCCAAGAATCAAATTTGGAAAATTAAAACGCGAAAGATGAGGCTAGCTTGAGACAAAATTTGGTTTTAACTAAAAAATTTTACTAAAAGTAAAATGACAAAAAAATATTGTGCGATATTTGGACCTAAAGTTTGATTCCAAACTTTATTCATTTAGTCAATCAAAAGTTACGCATAAAATTACGCGGTAAGTGGTTGCTTAGCCCATTACTTTAAAGTGATCCTCTCATGCAGAGCAACAAAACTTAAGAAAAGTAGAACTCTAAAATTTAAAGCGAAACTGCGTTACTAAAAAATTGGACAATCATACAAAAGTACATATTTGTAATGTTTTACTCTAATTTTTGAAAGTTTTACCACTCTAAAATTCTGTTGAGCTGCATAAGAGGTTCGTTTTGATATTATTTGCTCAATAATTGACCGGAGCGTACTTTTTGATTCACAAAATAGAGCCAAAAATAACTAATTTACCAAAGCCCCTTTAAAAAGGCGTGTACAGTTCAAAATTTATTTATTTTATCCGCATGATTTAAATCAGGTTGTAGTTTGAAATCAACGTAATTTGTGTTTGGCATTTTTGTGTCATATTAAGGCTTTCAAGTTATATAGTTTCTGCCTTTTATGTCGGAAGTTTGTTTGAGTTCCTTTTTTTAACAGAAAGCCATCATTTGATCTCAAGTTGTCTGTTATATGGTCTTGCATTATGCTCAAGGTTTTCACTCATATTTTCTCAGAGGTTTGAAGTTTTTTAGCAGTATTTTTCTATGCGGAGTTTTTACTCACTTGTATTTTTACGGGAATCTCAAATGTTTAATAAACTTTTCAACAATTTACTTGCTAATTTCCTCATGTGTATTATCGACCCAAATAAAGGTCCGATGGCTCAGACGGCAGATGGTTGAGGCACCTGTTAACGATTGAAACAAAACGGGCGGAGGTTCGAATGTTGTCTGGGACCCTTTTCTGGTTAAAAAAGGATTCACCATTCATCTATTACCTCGTATTTAACTTTTTTTAAATTTTTAGTTGATTAGCCCATCGGAATAAAAAAGCTATGCCTATTGATCCAGTTTTCTGAAATAAGGTTACTTGTGGTCAGAAACTTTTAGCCACTTAATTTCTTGAAATTTAAAGAGTATTAAGGTGGCCTATTTTTTGTAAAACCTAAGAACCCTGGAGGAAAAGAACAGTCATTTTTTCGGTTTCCTTGAGACCGATTACGTTTTTCTAACCACCTGTTGGCTATAAATGAATTGGAGGATGCTTCGTCTGTGATTACCTCCATGAAAACATATGAGAATAGTTTCAGAGAAGTGTTGTGTTTGCTATAAAGGATAAGATGACAACCTTTAACCCTTATCAATCTGGTGGTGCCACCAAAACTGTGGTGACTCCGAACTTCAGTTCGTATGGCTTGGCAAACAGCTACTCAAATTTCACGCCTGCAGGTCAGACCCCCCAGCAGATTTCAACTCTGCCTCACAGGCCCAACCCAATTCACCACCACAGGGCACCAGGAGCGAACAAACCGAAGCGACCCTTCTCCTACGACGGCATGGGCTCCAAAAATCGCATGGCCTGGTTTGCCAGAAACCCGGACAAGGTGACACGGTTCCACTGTGAGATCTGCTGTTGCGACTGTCTGGGAAAAGACTCGTGGCGAGCGCACTTGAAAGGCCAGCAGCATGTTAAAAAAGTGAAGCTTGCCGAGAAGCAAGGCAAGCGCATTCCAGCCAACATGTACTTGAACGGGGGCAACGAGGAAGAAATGGGAGACTCTATAGAATCTATCAGTCCCACTGGTGGGTCCGCCGCCACCGCTAGCGCGCTCCCGCCACCACCCAATTTTTGTGAAATTTGCAATTGTCATTGTACTAATGCTGATGCTTTTGCCGCCCATCTCAGGGGCCAAAAGCATCAGAGAGCGCTGAGCCTGCACACGAAAATGGGAAAGCCGATACCTGGCTCGCTGCAGCAGCAGCAACAGGTTTTCAAAGTCATTCCAACAACCAATTTGACTTCTGTACCGCTAGGCTCTGCACAAGTAATTTTGCGATGATGATTTTAAAAATTTGAAACTAAGATTGAACTTCGCATTGCACCTTAATAAAGCTCGCATATGGTTGCAGTGGCTTGGACGGGACTAGTTTGAAACTATTAACTTCGAGATGTATTATTTCTATGCAGCGGATTTAATATACTCTGGTTAGCAGTTCAGTTGAAAAGAGTGAATGGTATGTTCTTTCTGAATAATGATATCCTGGATTGTATATACACCAGCCGAAGTATAAACCAGCTACAGAATAAATGAGCTGAAAATAAGTTACTGTTGAACGGATGGGTGGTAAAATATTATATATTATACATTTAAATGCTGTCTTCACTATCGCCATTTTTAACCCTGTCAACGTGATATTTTTCACGTTTAAGCTATATCGTAAATTGCAATGCTTAAGACTTTTTTGATTTCCCAGTTTGAATTCAGTGTTTGTTTTCGTAATGCCACAAATCGCAATAAAAGACAGCTCGCAATAAATACAACGCGTATTAACTGACATCTCGCAATATACTGACCACCTCAGTCGCGCCAACGTGTTGCGAGCTTGCCAACAGAGGGTAGTACTTACTTCGAAGTTTTTAGGCAGCAACCCAATAGTGGGATGCTGTCAGGGTTGCTGCAGGGGTTGCGAATTATGCCTCAAACTTGAGTTTTCCAAAAATTTTCATCGAAAGTACAGTTATCAACATTCGCAAAATTTAAATTTTTCAAACCTTTAGATGGGTGCTGTCAAAATTTTCTCCGAGGCGGCAATTCTTGCCTCCAAATGTGACTGCCCAAATGGTTTATTAGTTTCCGAGAATTGACGTTTTTTATGATTTTTTCAGAAAACAGATATGCAAAGTTTCACCAAATTGGATTTGTTAGGCCTATAGCTGAGTGCTGCCAAAGTATTTTCACAGGCTGCAACTCTACTCTTTAAATATGACTGATGAAATCAATTTAGTTTCCGGAAGATGAAGTTTTTCTAATATTTTTTCAAAAAAAAACATGAATTTAAAAACTTTACAAAATTTGAATTTCCCAATCCTATAGTCGAATGCTTTGAGGGTACTTTCAGTGGTTGGTAAACTTGCCTCCAGTTTCGACAGCTCAGTACCTTGTATTTTAAGTTTTTACACCTAAAGTTCTTCTGGAATTGAGTTTTTTTCACAAAGTTTGAAATTCTCACCCCTTTAGCGGGATGCTCTCAAGGAACTCTCAAAGGTTGCAATTTTTGCCTCCAACTTCGACTGCTCAAATCATCATAACTTGCGACGCACGACGTTTAGGATTTGTTTAAAGTGTTGACAGGTCCTATTTTAAAAAATGCTTATCAATATGTGAAATTGTCGAGCGGTGGGGTGATGTCAAGTTGCAAGAGGGTGGTCACCATCCTTTTTAATGATTTTAGTAATTTCGCTAAATAAATCGTTTGAAAAGTTTTTTAAACAAAAAGTGCAGTTGTATGCTGTCGGCCAGTTTTGTGTGCCATTTTAGGGTTTTGCTGAAGTTGAACTCGAAATACGAAGTTGAATTTAGTTTTATCGTTCAATGTTTGAACTTTAAAACAATGTTGAAAGCCACCGTCTCTTTTTTACAAATGCATTTATTTTTAAGAGTATATTTTTGTGAGTAGTCTTATATAGGTCTTGCTGACTTTTTTTTTGCTCTCGCTCAATTTTGATTTTTCGCGGTTTGACTTGTGTTTTCTTTTTAAGTTCAGTGCATTTCTATTGTTAAAAAGAAGGCAAACTCCACTTTTGAACAGCAAAAGTGTAAAGGTCACGAAAAACGTGACCGACTTATGATTTCGAAAATGTAAATTAATTATCAGATTTTCCAACGAAATAAAAACTTTACGCATTGATCCAGTTTTCTCAGATTGCGTTAATTTTAACAAAAAAGTATCCATCATAAATGGTTTTCAAATTCAAAGAGCCTTAACGTCAACTATTTTTTTCTTCGAAATAGAAAAGTTGAAGGCTCTTGAAAAAAAAAACTATTTTTTTTTTCAGTTTCCTCGCGTTCATTACTCTTTTCCAACTGCGTTCATTACTTTTTTCCAACAAACATATACTTTATAAATACGAACAATTCACGTTCATTTATCGGTTCGAAGCACTGGAGAAGCATTATACGCTTGTATCTTTCTGCTCTAAGTTTTGTTATCGAAACAACATGAGTAAACCAAATTTGTCGACATAGTTTTCCATTGCCGAATGATTCCAAATGTTTTTAGGGCTGTTTTTGAACGTCATTCAAAACAAACATGGAATTTTGTAAGTTTAGTTTTTCTTTGTGCTAGAGTTTCATGTAGTTTTTATTTCATTTCCTTCTCTTCATTTCTTCGTTACGTAATGGCTGTGTTGTATCGCAAGTGTTGCGAAACTCCGCTTCGCCTCTGCCTTAAATTTTGATGGTTGACCTAATTGATGTTGTTATTATCTACTGACAATCGTTCTGAACAAAGTAATGCGTTGCAAGTAAAATAAGTAAAATTTGAATCGACCATTATCATATAAGTGAGTGCTTGCGTTTTTGAGGGATCCTCGCACTGATTTCCTTTGATTTTTTTTCAGTTCTGTTTGAGGTAAAATTGTTTGGATATATGTCAGCTTAGTTTTCTTAATACTTGTTATTTTTTCAAGTTGCTTTAAATCTTTCTTATTTTATAGTTGAGCTCTTTTAAACTAGCATAACTAGAGCAAGTATCTTGAAATTGGTATTTAGACTTCATTCCTGTAACCAACTTTGTAAGAAATTGGTTTTGCTTTAGTAGTCAAACTTTATAACATCAAGGCTCCTTCTCACATTGTCTTTAGGTAATGCTGTTGCCTTGACGTCCTAAGGACTGGGCTTTAAGTTTTGGCCGCACCTTGTTTTTGTTCAGTGTACTTGAGTCTTTTTCCGCTGTAAATTGTTTTGTCGGCTTAGTTGACACAGTAGGGGTTGTTCTTGTGATGAAACCATTTTCATCTGGAAATACAATTTTTTCTGGTGTTCTGTAATGCTGGCTTTGTGTATTTTCCCTGTTTTTCACTTGCAAGTTTCATTCGGCCTACATGATTTCGGTTTAATTTATTGGCTCAGTATACTTTTTTCAAAAATCAGGCTGCAAAGTGCAGTTGTATGTCGTCGGCCAGTCCAGGGTTTTTTTTATTTTTTTTGGTTTTGATCTGAAGCCCAGCATTCAGTGTAAAAATTAACCTATTAGTTGAAAATTTTTTATCGTTCAGTTTTTGAAATTGAAAACATATAAGTAAAATTCAAATTGCTTATATGGAAGGACTCAAATGAAAGGATTCAAATTGCCAGATATAAAACTACAAAAGTTTGACGGCAACCCACTGGAGTGGAACAACTGGTTCGAACTCTTCCAGACTGCGATTGGCAACAACCAACGCCTAAGCCCGCTTGAAAAAATTACTTACTTGCAGTCATTATGCACTGATAATGCTAAATCTTTAATAGAGAGCTACGGAACCAATTCTTCTCAGTATGAACAGGCAATATTTGAATTAGTGTGTAGATGCGGTAACCCAAAATATGTGGTGTCAGCGTTCATCAGGGAACTTGAAAAGTTTGACAAATTAATACTAAGCGAACCACAGGGCTTTATAAGATACGCTGCTTTCCTACGGAAACTAATCCACAACTTCGAACTCAACGGCTACACCGCTGATCTAAATTCTAGTAACCTGACCCGACTTGCTCGCTCAAAACTCCCAGTAAGTCTACTAATGAAGTGGGAAGAACACTGCGTGCTGCACGATCTCGATTATGCTACACTCAAAGACTTGACGCAGTACCTCAATAACTACTCGCGAGCATGCGAGAATCTGGACATAGAGCCGTCGACTCCAAACCAAGCGGGTCGAAATCGCCAACCTATGAAGCAACAACAATCCGACAGCCGACCCAACCAATTTACTTCTATGTCCAGGCAAAACTACGACAAATCTTCAGGCATATCAGCAAGACCAACAACTTTAACATGTCCAATAGATAACCAAGTTCACTACGTTGGAAAATGTCCGGACTTTTTGAAACTTCCCGTAGATCAACGGGCAGAGCTGGTGAAGCAACATAAGCTGTCCTTCAACTGCTTAGGCCAACACATATTTAGTGAATGCACATCGTCTAAGCGATGTTTCATCAACAAATGCGGAGGGAAACACCATTCAACTCTACACATCGACAAAAAAACCGTTTCAAACGCACAACCAAAAATCAAATAACATGCAGCTTGGCACTACAGTAGCCAAGCCCTCGGAAGAAGCTGAGGATCCAATCCAAAATATGAACAACATCAGAAATCAGTTACAATTTATGCCGGTAACACTGTTTAACAATGGCATCAAACTAGATTGCTACGCCATACTCGACAACTGCAGCCGCTGCTCATATATCCTCAGCAAAACAGCTGAAACACTTCAGTGCAAACCAAGCCAACAACTACAGCTTAGCGTACGAGGTGCTTTCAGTAAGGACAAAGTGTCTTCCTCGCTGGTCCAGCTTAGTATCGGACCACATAACGCTACAAAGCCTACTTTCAACCTACAATCAGTCTATTCAGTTGAAGCTCTGAGTTTTGACGCCATCGACACAAACAACCTTAACAAAACGTGCTCACTCTACAATCACCTTCGACATGTCAACTTTCCTGAACTAGGCGACAACACAGTTCAATTTTTGCTTGACGTAGATGCTTTCTGGAATGTTGCGGAGCGCGATATGAGGAAAGGTCCTACAGGCACCCCCTACGCTGTAAAAAACCTACTAGGTTGGACGATCACTGGCCCACTCAACCAGAAATCTAATAGTTCCGGATCAAATTCAGACTCAACTAAGTTCATTGACTTAAATGATCAAGAAGACGCTAATATCACTGAGTTAGTGGAAAAATTCTGGAAAGTGGAAGGATCAGGCATCCAGGAAGATAACAAAGCTACGTACTCTGATAAAAGCAAATGACAACTAAGATTTATGGAAAAAAGCATTGA